TCCAGAAGCCGGGGGGGGAATGCCTCGTCTCCCGCGTCCTCTCACGGGTGCCAGAGGCTTTCGCACCGTCCCGTGACAGCTGGGCTGCGTTGCGCCGTCTCCGGGGGTAATGGGCACGCGCAGGAGCTGGGATGCAGCACAGCCATGTGGGAGACCTCCGGTGCAGCCCATTCGGGGCCGTTTTGAGCTGCTCTTGGTACAGATCTGTAAAGAAAAACCCCCTGGGGGTGGGTGATCTGGCCACAGCTGCTGCAGGGTGGGCTCAGGTCCTGTGAGAGCCTGGGGTCTTCCAGCTTCGGGAGTGGGTTGAGCCCTGGGAAGGGGATGGCCACGGGCTGGGGGGAGTGTGGGGTCCCGTCTGCTTCCCCCGGCTCGGCGGCGTGGCCATGCCCTGCCTTCACCGCGGTGCTCTGTGTTCCAGCGCTCTCTTCCCGGACGTGGTGAACTGCATGCAGACAGACAACCTGGAGCTGAAGAAGCTGGTCTACCTCTACCTGATGAACTATGCCAAGAGCCAGCCCGACATGGCCATCATGGCAGTCAACACCTTTGTGAAGGTGAGAGGCGAGGGCTGCGTGCCCGAGAACCGCACGCTGCAGCGGCTCAGTTTGGCCCATCGCGTTCGTCCCCGCTTCCGTGCCAGGCCACCACACTGAGCTGCTCTACCCTGCGCCGAAGAAGGGAGCGTGGGTGGGTTTCCAAAGCCTCTCCCTGCAGGTGTAGGGGCTCCCCTAGCTCTAGGTAACCCGGTAAATTTTTCCAGCGATGCAGAAGAACTTCCTGGGCAGCCGCACTGTGCCACTTGCTGTGTCAGTGGCAGCTTCGGCTGTGGGCAGCTCCCGTGATTGAACTGCTGTCATGTGAGCTTACGCGCCGAAGTCTCCGCGGTGAGAAAGCCCTCGTGATCTTCCAGTTGGAGTTGGCAACTGAAGACCGTGTTTGTTAGGAGCCAAGATATTGCCAAATGACTTTGTGAAAAGGCTTGGTGGGCATTAGGGAGTTTTGGCTTCCTAGGAAGAAAAAAATGGCGCAATAAACCCAACAGATGCATTTCCCAGGTCGGGTGGCCGCTCTGCAGGGTGGCAGCTGACTTCAGGCACTTGGTGTAAGCGGTGAAGACGTCAGGTTCCTGGAGGTGTGTTTGGAGTGAGAACTGACGGTGCTAAAACATGATGGGTGGCACCGCAGAACGAGAGACCAGACCTCTCTCGTGGGTGACTGACTTTTTAGAGCGGAGTGTTAAACCCTCTAGACTCCAGGTACCCAACAGAGAGTGGAGGTCCGGAAGCCACCGCTGATGCCTGTGGTTCGAGGAGAGGAGGCCCTGGAAACCTAACCTCCCCCTCTCATCCCCGCAGGACTGCGAGGACCCGAACCCTCTGATCCGGGCTCTGGCGGTGCGGACCATGGGCTGCATCCGCGTGGACAAGATAACGGAGTATCTCTGTGAGCCGCTGCGGAAGTGCCTGAAGGACGAGGACCCTTACGTGCGCAAGACGGCAGCCGTCTGCGTGGCGAAGCTCCACGACATCAATGCCCAGCTGGTGGAGGACCAGGGCTTCCTGGACACCCTTAAAGACCTCATCTCTGACTCGAACCCCATGGTGATTGTTTTCTGCCTTCTCCATCCTCTCTTCGCTTCATCCAAATGGCAGTGAATGCTCTCCCTCCATCCCCCCTTCGTCTTCACATGCTGCCTCCCTTCCTCCCATGCTCCCCTCTCGTGTTGGTGCTTGACAGACCGCCTTTGGGGACAGCTGTTTGAGGGCCGCAGGCTGTGGTCCTTGTCCTGTGACCCTGTCTCCTGGATGGAAGTCTTCTCTGGTTCCTTGGCAAGCGTGTGATTAGTCTGCTCCCAGCATGGAGGAGGCTGCCTCAGAGCAGGGGGTGGTGGCAGAGGGGAGCTGATGCTTGGCTCTGATACCACGTAGCTGGTGGCTCTTGCCTCTGGTGAGGGTGTCCTGGGAGCTGGGCTTTGGCCAGCGTTAGTGTCCTTGCCTTTCTCTGGGCGTGAGCCACTTTAAAGCTGGCTTTACCCCAGGTTTCTCTTTCCCCAGTCCTTAATGCTCTTCAGATCTTGCTGCGGGTGTAGCAGCGAGCCCGGAAGCCACCGCAGAAAAACGAGGGGCTCCGCAAGGGTAAC